CCGAGTTGGCTATAATCATCTCATATCCAACAAGCGCGAGTGGAATAATTGTTTTATTAAAAACGCCCCCAAGAAATTATTATTTTGTAAGAAGAAACCGGATTTTTGAGCTTCCTTTTGATTTTAAGCTGACGCATACGCTTACCATATTTGTAGAGTATGGTATATTGGCTCATATACCATAATGGCTAAGCCAATAGAAAGTCTTGAATCGCATTATCCAATGATCCAGTTTGTAATAATTCAAAATAGCACTCAACAAATTTCAAATTACCAGGACATCTCCATGCAGTATCAGTCCTCCTTCTATGGTGATACAAATTCTTTCCATATCTGGCGTCACGTGACTGAAAGCATATTGAAAAAGAGTCATCTTACCAGAAATCCGAGCGCAGACAAATTGATTAAACGCAATCTTTACACCAAATGATTTGGAATAACTGATCGTCTAAAATAAAGTAAATAAAGTTTTAAAAACAATACTTACTAAACTCCTGAGGTGTAAATGAGTTTTAGCCCGACATATACTCGCAAGAATGGCTTACAACCTGAAAGCAGCCATGAAACATTTAAAGAGCTGATATGAGCCAATCCACAAAAATAAAAAAAATTGAAGCTTTAGCATAATCATGAATTCCCTTAAAAACTGAGTGTCGAAATTAATCCGGGATGGCTCGGCCCTTGCTTTACTTCGATCTGATTGGTCCAGAAAACTCGCGCTACTTTCTCAACCAATCAGATTCAAAACTAAAACCAATCGCGACTCGGGTCATCCGCGTTTTCCCGCGCTTTAGGCAGTTGGGTTGTTTTTACTCTGGGTTCTCATTGGCTCTTAAAAGTATTTTCCTTTCTTCTGATTGGCTGTTGTGATTACTATGGTTTTGGTTTTACGACACACTATCGAAAAGCGCTCTCTAAGATGTTTTGAGTATGTTTTTTTCTTTTCATCTTTTCTACGGAGTTCTTTCATTGATTGAACCGAGTCCTGACCGGCTCAATGTCTACGGTAAGGTACATTGAAAGCATACATGTAGAAATAAAAATATTGTATGATTTCTAACACAGGACTTACAACGATGTTTACTAGGAGTTTTTGGGATTAGGTCAAAACAGAAGATAAATAATACTTTTATCTTACCATCTTTGGTATCAAAACTTGGTATTCCATGAACAATAATGTGATGTAGAAATATGGGACTACAGAAAAAAAAAGCCAAAATATTTAGTAACGAGTTATCGTTACCAAGTAATTTATGAGACCGACAATTTTAACCCTTCAAATCCAAAGGGTCGTAAACATCTAATTTCTGCTAACAATATCAATCCTGAATCATCTATGGACGTCACGAGAATAAAGGAAATGATCACCAACGAGAGAAGCTCTTGATTGTTAAACAAATTCTCCTGGTCAGCACATAAGGAAATGTGTAGAGAACAGTACGGAGAATATGCAAACTGATGTTGGGGTGTAAATGGTGACAACAATGACTGTATCAAAATTCTTAATTGCTAACGCTTTATCTCATTTATGATGGTAATTGAACCCAGTAGAGTGCAATTTGGTCTAAAATCATACGCGTGATTTGAAATCACAAGTTTGATTTCAGACCAAAATTGCACAACACGAGGTTCAATTACCACTTTATTACATCCATTTTGAAATCGCCCAAATACAGGACTTGGTCAATTCAAATATTTTACTGATGCAGAACTGAGCCGGTTTTTAAATAAAAAATGGAACCAGAAATGCTTTTACATCTTATTTTGTATGCAAAACAGAAAGACTTTGACATCATGCGTCAAAAACTCAGTCAAGGGTAAAATGAAGCGATTTAGAGCAAAAAATGGTGCGATTTGTGAATAAATCGCTCCAATTAGAGCCAATCAGATTAGAGGGATCACCAGTGATTTCAAAATGGATGTAATAAGATTCTGAAATCGCATTGATCAACACAGGCCCAGACACTTATCATAGGGAAATTTCCAAAAGTGCCCATCCCCCCTTCACACCTTTATATTTATACAGCACCTACACCCAGTAAACAGAAAATGGCTGACAAACAAGAACATGAAAAGACCCATAACTATTGTATTCCAGGTGGTGGACGGTGGGGGTGGACGGTGGGGAAGGGGGAAAGGGGAGCAGGGTTTAAGACGTGGTAAAACCAAAAGACTTACTCTGTGTTAAGTTTGACTTTTCCATCCAAATAATCACTAAAGTAGTGCACATATCTGAAAATGACAAAAAACACCACAATTGATCCTTTTCTAAGACTGCTCTTACTAACAGGACCCCAAGGACAACAGTGTTACACACTGATGGGTTTTCAATCCTGTATAAAAATTCGTTATTATTATTATTATTATTATTATTATTATTAACTACACAATAAACGTTTAGTTGAAGCGTAGATTTCAAGATTTAACACCATATAAAGACAAGCACAAATGGGTCATTTTTTTTTAACTAACCTTCTCTGTGATGGCTGTGTGACTCCCCCCAAACTGTCATCATAAAATCTCTTCATGGCAAACCAGTCTAGAGCTGCTTGAGGGCTAGCAAGAGAATATCACAGTCAATAAGATTATAGTGTCTAGGATCTGACTCATAATTCTCCCTAAACTTCTTACACATTCCCTTTGAAACTTAGTTAAGAGAATTGGGTGTTATATCAATACACCCTAGACCTGATATTTTTTTTTATTGATTGCACCACAAAAGGCCATTTAACAGTTGTGTACTTAGTTGCCAAGCCTTTGATTCAGAGTGAAGCTGAAGGTGACCTTATTGTGATGGAGACCTGTATCCACTTAGCATGATAACAAAGTGATTTACATTTGAAAGGCAGCAAGGTTTGTATCATAACAAGGTCAACCCTAGCCTCACTCCCATTCAAAGGCTTGGCAACCAAGCACACAACTGTAAAATGTACTATTTTACTGGACACTGTATTGCACTAACAAGGAGAGGGAACGTCAGGAAACAGCACTCTGCCACTTATTGAATTTATTCTTGTTCACCCCATGTTTAAGCCTTCTGCAGTGTTCTGCTGAAAAGTAAAATGATTAGCTTCTTGTCAGTTAATTCTTTTCACCAATCTATGTTTATTTGATCAGAATGTTTAATTGCAAATTAGCCCTGAAAAGCCTTAACAGGTCTGAATTAGTGGTAAGACGCAGATGCTTCTGGCAACAGCCATTATTCATTAAATATAAGGATGATAATAGAAATATCTTTATCGTTATCATTTCACTATACCGGGGGTATTGTCATCAGTATTAATATTGTTACACAATAATTATGTGAAAGACTTGTGGGATTAATTCAAGAAAAAAGACCACAGCTTGTTCATTTTGACATTACTTGGACACCATGGAGAAAATATGTTGCAGTCTTAAAAAGTTGTTTAAAATTTACCTTGAACATATCTTACTAAAGTGCATGTATGCAGCAATAACAACCCCAGTTCTTCCTTTCCCCCCCTGAAATAATAAATACACAAAGTAATTGAACCCAAAACACAAACAACTACTATAGACTTGCACTTTGTAGTTATTAGTCAAAAACAGTTCTAGCAATGAATGTGAATCTTGTGATATTAAAACAGCTAATGGCAGCTCTAAATGTAGCCTGTGTCAGTATGCCCTCTTTATTAGCACTGTGGGACATGTTTTTCTCCGCTCACAAGAAGATTTGAGACCAGTCAGAGAGGGTTTTGTTGAGAGCCTAGTGTTACTAGTGCTAGATCCCTAACAGACCTGACACCCTGGCTTGCATTGCTCAAGGCCTCTTACTGGTGAAGAATCACTCATAATAAGGCCGGCCTCCTCGCAAGCTGGAAGGAGTGTAACACTGTAGGCTTTACAATTGCACTTTGTCGCCCTACTATTCCCTAGTGTAACAGTTGGGAAAACTAAGTGCTGCACATCTTAAGAGTGCCTTTTCAAAATAATCAACACAATCACTATTATGATTTTTTTACTAACCTTGCAATGTACAACTACCACATGCAAGGGATCACTCTTGAGCCATGAATCAATTGATTTAATTATGCTGCAAATTAAATACAGAAACAATTGCTGAGTTTGTAATTTGGGGGTTGATTCACTATCTGATTCTCAAAGCAAACTAAAAAAGGCATCAGAAGCAACATACCTACACAATCTTTCAAGAGGTGGGGCTAAGTGATCTGGCCAACCAAAATCTAAAACCTAGTTCACAAAAAAGAAAGTCACAAAAGTACTTCCCGATTCCATTTACTTCTTTACAGAGCTGGCATGCAAAGTAACCCATGATCTGATTGCTAATTCTCCCCTCTATCTGGGGCATATTTCCTTGTAAATTAGTTGGGAGAATTTGATGTTAAATCAAGATAACAACTTCTACCTGATAAGTTTAAGTATTCCCATTATCTGTTTGATTGTGTTTGAAGTGATTAACATGTAACTTCTCCCTATAATATCCATATGTTACCCAGATATCAGGTAACGAGTTTTCTCCAACTTAATTATCAGGTAGAAGTTGTCATTTTGATCTAACACCAAATTCTCTTAGATACTTGGCTAGGAAATGTGTTGGAGCTAGAGAGGAGACAAAAAATCAGGTCTTGGGGGTTAAAGGGTTTAAAAATCTCATTTCAAGGGGGTAGGGTAGGGGGTCAGAGGCCTAAGTTGACTTACCACCCAAAGATTAATGAAATTCCACATTGTGTCTCAAAATTGAAGCAATGCAGGAAACTTACTTGGTGATTCAGTTTGGATATGTCATATCTTCTTTCAGATAGATTAAAAACCTGAAAAAATAATAAAGCAAACAAATAAAAAATGATCAGAGGAGCAAACAGCATGGCAGGGTATCAATATGCAATTAGAGATCACAGAATTCTCTGACCACCTTGGATAATAAATTATTCTTATTTTGAAAAATAACTCAATATATCATTTGCACTATCTATCTCAAGTGAATAAATAGAAAAAAGGACAAATAAAAAAGAAAAAAAGGGAAGAAAAGGAAACACTTCAGCTTACCATGTATTTATCTTGATGATTTGTCTGTAGCATTTTTGCAACTTCTCTGAGGTTATTTCTGTAGGTTGTTTCCAAGCCAGAGGCTGGAAATGACATTGCTATAATTTCCACAAGAAGAATAGAAAAAACTCAGCATTTAATTTGTTTGACTCAGCAGCAAATCTGTGGTAGCAGGAAGAACAATGACAGTGACTATATATAATGATAAAAACCATTTCCACACTAACCTATAATCCTGTCTGTGATGTACGTCATGTCCAGATCAAAATTTTCATCCACATGTCGCACTCTATTCCTGGAACAATAAGGGGATAACAAATGTAAAGTTAAGACACTGATTTGTAAAATCAAAGTTGTCATGTCAATGGGACCACTGGACAAGCATCTTAAAGTTGCTGAACATCTTCAAAGAACAAGCAAAAAAGGATTAGAGTTATACAAGTGAAAGCTGGTTTTGAGGCATTGATTAAATGACAATTTAACAATGCCACTTCAGAGCAACAATTAGATTGCAAGGAACATACTGAGATTGGAACTGGAAAAGACAAACTTGCCATTACAAAGTCATGCAGGGGTCAAATGTCTCTACACTAACTTTCTAGTGACTTACACTGCTTTTTACTTTTGGTTAGTTATGAGGGCTTTATACAAAGTCCTCATTTTTTTTTCTGAGATGGGAAAAGCATGAGACAGTACCTGGAAACTCTATGCCGCATGTGATGGCAGATGTTTGTCACAAGGTTTTTGGGTGATGCTGGTAGCCGCTGGGAAAAAAAAATTTAATAAAACACTCACATAAAAATAAAATTTCATTTCATATTTTTAGATTTAAACTAGCAGTAGAAGTATCTGTATGTGCTCATGCAGGCTCTCATAGATTAATAAACAAAAAGAGTTCACACACCAAAATGTTTCCAAAAAGCCTCAACATCTTTAAGTGTAAGCCTCAACATCTTTAAGTGTAAGCCTCTTGCAAATGCAATGTTCTCCCTCATTTTGAGCACAACAAGTTAAGTAAGAAAAAATTTTAAACCAGTAGTATGAGCAATCCTTATTACTTGTGAAATGTTCAAGAATTCCAAGCATTTTTTAACTAGTACCAGTGATAAGAGGTGCTAACAGAGGTAAATTTTACCATTTACTGCTTGAAAAGGAAAACACTGCAAATACTAAGTTCATCTATATCTGGCTTGCACGATGGTAATGGAAACCACAGGTCAGTCATGCTTACTTTCGAGAATGAGACCTTTCTTGAATCAGCCTTCACAACCATTTTCAATTCAACCAAGAACTAAAAATGTGGCTTGTTCTAAGCGTGCATGTCTTTTGAACCTTAACACTGATTTGCAACTCAAGTTGTATGACCCCAAAATATGAACTATGACCTCCAACAGAGTGTAAAAATACTTTCAGGAAGAAATGAACTGTGATCCAAGGGGGATAAGAAATTCATCAGTTATCACCAGAAAATGTCAGGAAGTTGTTATAACTCAAAGAGGATATCTGTATCTCAAACATGGTAAGATGATCAATAGCTGATAGAATAAAGGGGCTAAGTTACAAAGGAAACTGTGGTGCTGAGTTGGTGTGGGGTATCACAAGATAATCTACTTGTTTTATCGACTGAGTTGATCATTCAAATCTCAGTCAGGGTACATGCATAGAGAGTATCTAGAGCATCATTTCCAAGCATTAGCCCTGGCTTATAATAGGAAAAAAGATGAATTGTCTGATAGTGGTAATTATGACTTATTTGTTCACATATTATCTTACTTACCGATCTTTTACCTAAGTCCACTTCATCATGCGATGTCTGCACAAAAATCACCAGAGAAAAAGAATCATTTGAGATCTAATTGACCAAAATCAATTTGAATAAGGTAAAATTTTTCTCATTAAGAGAAAATAGCAACCTGAATTCATAGCAACCTGATTACTCTATTGTTTAGCCAGTAAACCCTGCATTTGACAAAATGCTCTTTTGCAAGTTACAACTTGTCAAATACTTACCTGACTTTTTCCTAAGGCAATCACCAGACAAGTGAGCACAGTAGAGGCTCCCATTAAACCCCCAGGGAAACCTCTAATTTTTGGGGCTCCCATACGGAGAGGTTAAATTATTGGGGGCCAGTGATAGCCATCATAGAAGGGGGAGGGGGGTTTACAGAAGAGGGGCTTATCAAAGCCAAAGCTTACAATAATGCAATTCATTATTATTTTTTTTTGTTGAAATTAACTTAGAAATTCAAAACAAAAACCAACACTGACAGGCCTTTAAAATAAGACTTGTTCATATTTTGCATGGAAACATCACCATGCCCAAATTAAATACATAACAGTACTTCTACTGCTTTAGAGTCTTGTCTCTTTTTTGTTTGGGCAAGGGAAAAGGAATGAAGGGGTCACTGACAAGCTTAAGTCCTGTTAAAGGGGGAATGGGGGAAGATTAGACAGAACATGAAAAAATAAAATGTGGACTTGATGATCTATAATCTGCTATCAATTAGTAACTCAAGGCTCGACACTAAGTTCTCAACTTACTAGCCAATTAGTGCTTTGCAGCAATATGCTTGTTACATCAGTTCTTAAATTTTACGACAATTTCAGTTTGTTTACTAGCCAAACTGGCTGATGGAAATTGAAATCCACTAGCCATGCAAAACTGAGTTTCTACTAGTCTGTGGCTAGTGGACTACCATTAGTCTTGAGCCCTGTAACTATACATAATTTTCCATAAAATTCTCAGTATAGGATGTACACTGACAGAACTTTATATTATTCATATCCCTTCTCAATTACTTTTTGTTTTAAATCACAAGAGAAGCATCAGCTTCTCATTGTTATCATGTGATAAGTTTTAATGTGTTTATAGCTATTTATAACTTAATTCAGAAAATCCATGCAGGTGTTAGCGCTTTTTCTTCCTATGCTAGCACAGGTTGCAATACAGATTGCAATGCCTGTAATGCAAGCATCTTATCAGGGCAAGTAAATGTTACAAGCTCACAATTGTTTATCCGGCCGGCAAGGTTTGATTAAGGGTTGGAGTGGATGGTGGGGGGACTGGGCTCAGGAGGAAGGCAAAAAGATGCAGCTGTAAACTCAGCCAAATATTCTGTAGCAATTACCTTGAATTTACTATGTGCTGAGTTGACAGAACCTTCTCTTGACCACTGCTCTTTAACCTTTATGAAAAGAGTCATTGGAACAACACAAAACAAATCATACAAATAACGCACATCTTAAATTAAAAAAAGATGGAAAAAACAGTCTGGGAGCTTTGAGGAAGGAGAATTTTTACCATAAATGTTCAAGGTTAGAATGAAACAGTTTTTTTCTTTTTTTTCTTTTTTACATACTGGCCCTTGTTGTTCAGAGGGTGGACTTTATAATAGTGATATCCACTGGTTAAATCTCAATCCAGTGGATAGCCCGGTACGTTTTGGGAACACTTGTCTGCAGGATAGTGATTTAATATATGCTGGATAGTGTTATCTGCTCTATGAACAACCATGCCCTGATGGAGAGGAGCTACAGAGCCCAGGCATAGATGACCCTTTTGCCCAACAACCTACTCAATGCACGAATGATTTTGGGTTCAAGATCCCTAAGTAAGCTTAAAACTAAACCCGCCACACCTGCTCTCCCACATTTAGTGATGGGGCTCTTTACAAACTGTTCCAGGTCAGAATGAAAGAATATTTTTGTTTGGCATCCTCATAGAGGGAAACTGGAGAGCCCAGACTTAGATGAACCCTCTAACTAACAATCAACTCAATCCATGGATGATGTTTAATTTGGTCTAAGAACCTGATCTATGCTAAAATGGTAAAGGCTGTGGTCTAGTAGCACCCAGCTGTGGCCCCTGCGGGCACCTTACTTTTGCTCTTTGGCAAATCGGGAATTTTAGTTTTTTCATATGCTGGGCACCATGGATTTCACAGTTTCAGAGCACTGGGCTTGATTCAATTTTCCTCAGAGCACAGCCTTGATGGTGATAGGTGAAATTTGCTCTTGAAACTATACCTGCTATGCATGCACTTCCTGTAGGAACCACAAAATTAAATGACTTACTAGCACTTAATTAATTGATTACAAATAATTAATTGATATCATTTATGTGTATAGAGGGTAAGTGCCCTAATGCATCAGATAAAAACATAATTTAAGGCAACCACAGCATAAGTTCTTACCATCTTCTCACACTTGTCATGGCAATGGAAATTACAACCTGCAAGTTCAGGATATAAATTAAAACATTTCCTTTACTTTTCATTGCAATGCATAACCAGATTTCAACAGATGGGGATGACCTCAACACAGCTTTCTCGTTAACTATGTGAATGAGTTCACAAACAAAACTTTGCTGTTTGTCTAAAAACTAATTCAATCTCATGTTTGACAAATTTAAATCTTGGTATTGGTCATTAGTTCAAACTTATGACCTTTAATAGGGTTTAATACAAGATATTCAAGTTTGAAGTATCAAGTAAATGAAAACATACACTCCAACAGTTTTATTGGCCAAAGAAATATAGACTCTTATGTATATATCACAGGAAATCAAAACATGTTCTAAAAAATGTGCTTCAAAGAGGTGTAGTATGACAAATCAAGGCAGCTAGCTAGTCCATATACCTTTACATATTTTTCCTTCACTATCAATTTCTCGACCACAAAAGCCACATTTCTCCAGCACAGCTAACAGGTCAGACTTAAAAACATGATCACAGGAGTTTGGATCTTTACCCTCCTGTAAGGGAAAGAAAGCATAAGTTGTTAAACACAAAGCAATTAATCTAATTAAAGTTACAAGACGTTGTTGACTAGAACACCTAAATGTTGACCTCTGGAAGGATCTTCACATCCAGTTGAGCAAAAATTATAACAGTAAACAATCTAAGAATTTTCAGAAGTGGCCTCTTGTGTCACTAGACTTCTTATTAAATCAAATGCTGAAAAAAATTGAAAGTTACCTTTACCTTTGATTTAATTGTTACAGAACCTGCAAAATCATGCAGGATTTTTAGAGATCTCTTTTTCTTCAAAGCTAGCTTTGAGAACATACAAAAGAGATCTAAAAGAGGAAGGTGGAAGGATTAGACTAGCTCTTTGTTACTGCAGCGATACTGTCAACATGAGGACAGATAATCCAGATATTTAATATCCTCCTGGAATGTAATTTCAGATGCCAGCCATTTCTAGACATCTATTAAATGTCATTCAACTGTCTCAACCACATTAGCAACTTAACCCTTTTAATTAACACCTAAGAGTGACTAGCATCTAATTTCTCCTTACAATATCACCCCTGAATCAAGCATTAAGGTAGAGAGAATAAGAAAATGATCATGACTAAAAAAGCTCTTGACTCTTAGAGAAATTCTCCTCACAAATACCCTAAGAAATGTATAGAGAACAGTAATGAGAACCTGCATTAACTGATGTTAGAATATAAACCCTCAAACAAAAAGCAAACAATAATTATAAATGACACTTTTTAAATCTAATCTTTTGTATTTTTATTTATATTTTCATTTTTTTATCTCCTCAAAGCAGTGCCAGTACCAGAATTCTCCTGAAGTGTAGATTAAAAATTCAGAACATTTAAGTGAATGAGCACCCTTGCACAAGCATTGTGGAAGGCACATGCACCAACACCACACCTACATAAATCTGTACACATTACCTATTTGCATCATTAACCTTTGGACAAAACTAACCATTCAACTCCTCTAGAGTGAATGTAAATCGACAAATGCAAAGGATCGATATGTGACAATGATAAAATATAATACAAATTTAGGTGTCTCAATCAACCCAGGTATTTGACAAGAGTGTATTTTGCTTAATTATCCAAAAACCAAAACCAGAGATCACAATAGACAATCAGATAAATTAAAGAAAACATCACAAGGTGCCAATGATGACTCAAAGTCAAAAAGCAACATTATGACTGTCCTAAATGTGGAACAAAAAGTGATTAATTAAGTTACAGTTAGTTAATTAACCCATTGACTCCTATGAGTGACCAAGACAGAATTTCTCCTTACAATATCAATACAATATCAAGCAGTCAAGTGATGAGAATAAAGAAAAACATCATTTATTAGGTGGATTATTAATCGATCCAATACCAATTTCTTAAAAACCAGCATCATAAAATTAAGAATCGTATTATAGCAGACAGAAAGGGGAATTATTTACAAGATCATGGGGGTGAAAAGGTGAAACTTTCTGCATTTAACTGATTAAGAAAGGACACAAGCTGTCTGAAACAATCACAGCATGTGTAAAAAAAAAGCAAAATAGTTCAGGATTTAATGGCATTCAACTGCATAGATTCTTATAGTTAAAAGGAGTCTACTTGATATCCAGTACTGAAGACTAAAAACTTTTATTTAAAATGTACGTTTCTTGTTGGAGTTTCTTGCAAGGAGCAGTACAAAACTTCTTCAAACTCAGGACATAAACAAAGAATACTGATATTAACTATCCTTGAACTGAACAATTAACTGACATAAATGATCCAAAAATTAAACACAAGTGATATTAGTCAGTTGGCAGTTGATATCAGTAAATAATATTGATGTCATAATTGTTATCAGCCAATTGATGAGATCGAGTCACAAGTAAGGTTTTCTTAATTACCTTGATTGGCAATGATTACATTGTCATCACTTTCTTAGGAACATATGGTCAATTAGTAATAAATTACTGAGTTGCTATCCAAAATAATAACTCCAAGTGGAGAATAAAACAAGGAAACTGCATACATCACTGATAAACATCAGTTGATAAACAAATGTTGATCGAATCTTTTAGCTCATAATTTAAAGGTCACCAATTCTTACAGCTTATTAACTTAAAATAGCACCGCACGATTCATTATTCATTGTAGGCAAGTCAAGAAGACCACCTCTTAACAAATAGATTCCATATTGCCATGCATCTGTGTATGGGGCGCCAACCCAGTCAATATTCCCTCTGTATTTCTGTGAATTAGTCTACTTTTGACATGGTCGACTCGACTTTTTATATGGTCAACTTGACTTTTTACATGCTCAACTTTTTACTTTTTCTATGGTCAACTCGACTTTTTATATGGTCAACTTGACTTTTTACATGCTCAACTTTTGACTTTTTCTATGGTCAACTCGTG